CCTTTTCTATTTTACATCTTGCATATCTCCCCAAATCTTGCTTTTTCTAATCTAGAGCACTAATTTTGTATTCCAAAAATTTAAAAATAAATTATTTATTTAGCAACTATGGAATATAGCCTTTTTAGCATGTGTATGGGCTGGAGCAATAGCACAGTGGTAGGGCATTTGCTTTTTGCAGCCAGCACAGCCGAGCCAGGTTCAGTTCCTCCGTCGCTCTTGGAGAGCCCGGCAAGCTACTGAGAGTATCTCGCTCGCATGGCAAAGCCTGGCAAGCTACCCGTGTTGTATTCAATATGTCAAACACAGTAACAAGTCTCACAATGGAGATGTTACTGGGCCCACTCGAGCAAATCGATGAACAACAGGAGGACAGTGCTACAGTGCTATGGTATCTCTATTGTTTCATGTCTTAATTTTTTTTTAAAAGCTCCAGCTGTTAAAGAAATGAATGTAGCACCTGTGTTATGACATTTGTTTATTGATAAGACTTTCATTTATAAGTATCTATTTTGTTTCTGTATGTCAGGCACTATAATGTGTCTGGCTAGATTTATTATTGCTTTTGTGAAACACCCACATGGCAGAGTCTGGCACCACACAGCAGAGTCTGGCAAACTCCCCATGGTGTACCCAATATGCCAAATACCAGTAACAATGATGGGTCCCATTCTCCTAAAGCGCCTTGAATATAATCTCATGGATTATATTGGATGATGGAGACGTTACTGGGGCCTGCTCGAGGCAATTGACGAATAACAGGATGGTCGTGATTCGTGATTTGTAAAACACTTCAGGAAGCAGGTATCACTGTCACTGTCACTGTCCTCCCGTTGTTCATCGATTTGCTCGAGCAGGCCCAGTAACATTGTGAGACTTGTTACTGTGTTTGTTATACGAATACATCACGGGTAGCCTGCCAGGCTTTGCCGTGTGGGCGAGATACTCTCAGTAGCTTGCCGTGCCCGCATGGCAAAGCCTGGCAGGCTACCCTTGATGTATTTGATATGCCAAACACAGAAACTGTTGTCACAATGGAGACAATACTGGGCCCGCTCGAGCAAGTCAATGAACAATGGGAGAACAGTGACAGTGTTTTAAAGAATCATGGGGAAAATTCTTTTTATTTATTTATTTTTGACCACATCCAGGCTACCACATGATGCCATTCATCAAACCCAGGCATAGCTCCTGCACACAAATTATATGCTCCAGGGAGCAGGGCTATAGTACAGTGAATTAGGAGCTTGCCTTGCATGTGGCTGAGCTGGGTTCGATTCCTGGGTCCCCATATGATCACTCAAATCCCACCAGAGTGATGCCTAAGCAAGGAGCTAGGAGTATGTCCTCAGCACTCCCAGATGAGGCCCTAAAACCAAAATAAATAACATTAAAAGAAATCTGTATATGCACCACCTCCTTTAGTTCTTACAGACTTCTAAATGTTTATTGGTACACTTAGTTTCTTCTCCAGCTTTGATTTTACCTCCATAGGATTCTATGAAATAAGTGTTTGAAATTCATCTTTATTTTCTTTCTCTCAATTTCACTCACCAATATTTTGACTTTGCTATTTGACTTCCATACTGCCACCTTCACTATTTTTCTCCTTGCTTTCTTTTCTTCATTCTGTTTAGGAAATCATTTTCGATAAATCAAACCAAAAGCAGGAATATGTGAGATCTTTTTGCTCTGTTTTCAAGCAGAGCTTTCTTAGTTAGATCAAGTCTGAGATGAATTTGAACTAATGGTTAAATATGTGAGGAAGAGTATCCTGCTAGATATGTGGAGGTGATTGTGGAGGTGGAGATAGCTTAGAGCACCTGCCTGCCTTGAAAATGTGCGACTGCAAATTCAGCTCTCCAACACCTCTTTATGTACTGAGTACCATCGCAGTGCTACTGTCTTTGGTATCCCTGGTGCTACTGTCTTTGGTATCCCTGGTGCCACAAGAGTTGGTTTCTGAAGGACTGCAAAGTTGTGTTCAAACATCATTAATAAAAGTTTGTGAACACTGCAACTGAATGTGTGGCCTTCTCTGGTCATCATCATCATCATAAGGAAAGGATGAGGTATATAATAGCACTATAGTACTATCATCCTGTTGTTCATCGATTTGCTCAAGCAGGTACCAGTAACGTCTCCATTGTGAGACTTGTTGTTACTGTTTTTGGCATATTGAATACTCCACGGGGGGTAAATAATAATGATGATAAATTAATAACACTTTTAAAAAGTGAAATAGGGAGACAAGTGAAATTAGTTGATTTGATGAATTGTGTTCATCATGCAGTCCTGTAAGACTAGCAGAGCAAAAGGATTGGATATTCACATTGAGCAGAGAATAACAAAGAAGAAAAAGAAAGGTATAGTTAGGAGAATGTAGGGGAACATACACAGAAGCAGCAATAAAAAGCAAATGACAAAATGCTAAGAAAAACTTGTTTATGAATTACTGATTACTTATTAAGAGGGAAAATAACTTAGTTCTAATATAACAGATCACTGGTAACTGGAGTAATTAAAACGGTCTTTAATATTTTAAAAATTATTAAGTTTTGTTTAAACCAGTTTGTCATTGATGATCTTGGACAGATTTGGTGATAGTATGCAGTGATTTGTCCATCAATACCATAAACTTTAATATTATTGTGATCATATTACTTGAAGTATAAAAAAATTTAAAAATTTAAACTAACCACTCATTTGTTTATGGTTCTGCCATTTGACCTGAGTTCAACTGAGTAATTTTTTAACTGTTAGAATATTTTGAATAATTCTGGTCTGTTTAACATACTTAGAAATATGATAATTCCTACAGATCCCCAGAAATTTGCAATCCAAATAAATTCAGTCAAAATTTCTCCAAGTTGTACTCAGTGTATGTTCGTAAATTGGGGTGAGGGGAATGTAGTTGCAAATTCTTGTTTTTGGACTACACTGGGCTGTGCTTAGGGATCGATCCTGGAAGTCTCTGGGAGCTTATGCCTGGGATAGCACCCAGGTCGACTGTGTGCTAGGCAAGAGTTCTACCCACTGTACTATTGCTCCGCCCCTGTGACTTTTCCATTTTGTTTAGGTTTGGGTTTTTTGGCCATACCTGGTGGTGCTCAGGGATTAGAATTTATTCCAAATTCTGTAGTCAGGGTGCTTGGGACTAAAACCAAGGTTGGCTGTGTGCAAGTTCGGCCTGCTATACTATCTCTCTGGCCCCTGTAATTGTGACTTTCATGAAATGGATATAAATCCCATTGCTAATTTCAGTCTTTGATGTGGAGTCACTGAACATATAGTTTGGAAGAGTGTGAAAACTCTTACTAGAGCCATGCCAGATTCCAGGTATTCCTCTAAAATACCACTGTTGTGATCTCTTGATCTACAAGGAACTTGAGTAAAAAACTGAATAAAACAGGATTCTATAAACGAATGAAGAATTTATATACATGGGAAATAGTGCTATTAAAGAATAGATTAATGCTGTATGGATTAAATGTCCATTGATAAGGCCCTTAAGAGCTGTTAGAAATGAACTATGAAAGGGGGAATGAAATTCATAATGTACTTAGCTGTTTTAGGAGGAACAAGCTTTGTTTTATGTTGGGCCACACCTGGCGTTGCTCAGGGCTTTCTCCTGGCTCTACACTTAGAAATCAATCCTGATGAAGCTCAGGCGACCATATGAGGTGCTGGGGGTTGAATCCAGGTAGGCTGTGAAGCAAGTGCTATATACTCTCTTTGGCCCTAGGAGCAAGTTTTCACACCTCAACCCCCTCTATATGATAGGTAAATAATAAGAGACAGATACTATATCTTCAGTAGCGTTTTTTACAAAAGTAGGGGGACAATATTCCTGTGCTATCTTTGTTGAAACTTTGTGCTTTGTTTGGGGTCTACTCTTGGCAGCGGTCAGGAGCTGTTCTTGGCATGGTGCTCAGGGAAGCCTTTGGTGCTGGAATTCTTTCTGTGTATGTAAAGCCAATTAAAAGTAACTTTCCAAACCCTGAAAAGATTTTTTTAAATTCAGAAGTGCTGACTGTGCTAAAACAAGTGTGGATGGGGAGAATCCACACAATTAAATTTACATTTGGGGGTATTTACACTGGAAAAATGTGAAGCAAATGTTAAGGAGTGTTATTGGAAAGCTGTGGGATTCCCTGGCTATTTCACTAATTCACTTAGGCTATTTCCAAACTAGTCTGTATGCGTAATTCAGAGCTTGCAGGTAAGGAAGCTAGCAAGATTCTTAGAAGCGTTTAAATACAGGATAATTAGAGGTTACACTAAGTTGTTTATAGATTTGTTTATAAGAAAAATTCATTTAAAAATAAAGCCAAATTTTACTAAAGAGCTAGACCAAAGTAATTAGCATGATTTAATACTAGGGCTAGTTGGAATTACTTTTGTGGGGAGCTCCACACCCTCCATGCTTAGAGCTCACTCCTGGCTCTGCTCAGGAATCGCTCCTGGTGGGTTTGGGGGTCTTTGGGGTGCCAGGGATTAAGCCCAGTTTGGCTGTGTTTAAGGCAAATGCTCAGCTCATTGTTCTATCTTTCTGGCTTACGGATGACTCCTTAGAGTTTGCCCTTCTGCGCCCAAGCCAAGGACACCTTTCCAGTATTCTTTATTTCTATTGGAGACTGGATTTTTGGGGGTCTTTTCTTCAGCAAATTATTTGAATGTCAGCTTTGTGGAGATTAGAATAGGGTACATATAATGATGCTACACTTGATCCTTGTCTGTGATTTTGTTATCTTATGATCCTCCCAATCTATTCTTGGCCAGTTTTATCATTGGAGCCAGTAGGTTTTGGATTGTCTCTCTCTGTTTCTTCTTCCGTGGTGGTTTCTCTGGCAGCTAACCTTGAGAGCGGACATAGTTTAGGGTTTCCAGCGAGCGCTTGGAAGCTCCTGTTCTCATCACTTTTACTTCTGCGTTCTTCTCTTGTTCACACTGGGCACTGAGGTGCTGGTGTTAATTCCTCCCTGCCCACCTTTCCCTAGAGTCCATGCGTGATGGTGCCTCCTACAAACGACAGAATGAAGGAAAGCCAGAAAGAGGTGAGTTTTGAGCTAGATTTTGATTTGGGATTGTGAAGGGTGGGGACTTGGATCAGTAGATATCTTGGAAATGGGAAAAGTACAACCTCTCTAATAGTTCATTGTCAGAATCAGATGAACATCAATAGAACTAGGTTGTAGGACTTTAAGGATTGTGTGAGTTGGTTGTGCTAGCCATTCATCTTCAGGACATTGAGATCTAGAAAATAATTAAGTTGTTGCCAGATTGAATTCGACAGAGGATCAAGGTATTTTAATTTACCTATATATGCTCTTTTTGCTGCTATCTGAATCATTCCTTTTAATTCTTTGCTTCTCTCCTATCCCTTGCCTTCATGCAACATAATATATATATACACACACATATATATAGACACACATGCATGTATGTAAATGCATAAAAATATAATGGATACATAATAAACCACCTTATCCCTACCTTCTGAACACTAAGACTGGTTGAAAAGTTCTAAAATTAGCCTTCAAGTAGCTAAACATTCAAAATAGACCATGCAATTTGGGCACTTTACTGGCATGCCTCTAGGATTGAATCTTAGTACTAAAGGGAGTATCTAGAGATTAACAGCTATTTGTGAACATTTTTTTCCCTATGTCTTTGTGCCAGAATTGATCTCTTATTATTTAATTATCCCTTAATTAGCAGAACATGCCAGACAGCTTCTCATTTTCGAAGAACTGTTTATCTGAGTAGGCTGAGGGCAGTGATACGTGTTGGGATAGAAAAATGATTTTGCTAATTTTCTAGTGCCTCTTTTCTGAAAGAGTTTGAGCCAGGTAGACCCTGGGAATTAAAAAATTTGTAAGCTGTGACACCTCGATCCTCTAAGACCATTAGGTACAGTTGAACAGGCAGATAGAATGATGTGGAATTTACCATGTGTAAACAATTCACTAGAGACAGGAATGCTCTATTGTTATAACACGATGTGGAATTTACAGCATGTAATGAATACAGCAGGGGATGATTAAATTAACCACCTATTCTTTGTCATTAGAGTATGTAGTGATGATACTGTTTTCCCTTTTAATTTTAAGATTTGCTAGAATCTTAACAGTTATTTGATGTGAAAGCCTCTTAATGGTTCTCTAAATAAAAAGATTCTACAGTTCTAAGCCAGGTAGATGTCTCAGAGAGTTGAAGTGCATGCTCTGCATATGTGAGCTTTGGTTTTGATCCCCATCATTGTATGTTTCCCTGAACATGATGGGGACAGCCCCTGAGCACGGTGTACTGTGCCCTCCTCACAGAAACACGTAAACAGGTTGCCCAAATTCTCGATTTAAGACTATTACAGGTTCAGAGTTTGAATATTGATTTGGAGCAGGAATCCTCAGCTTCAGCGCTATGGACATTTGCAGCTATGTTTGTTATGATGGGTTATAATGAGCATTTTTCTAAGATGTTTAGTAGCATCGCTACCCTCTGCTTACTCTGTGCCAGTGACAGTCTCTCACTTGTGGCAGTCAAAAATGTATTCATACATTATTCATGTCTCTGGTGGGAGGGAGGGAAGTGTGAAGACATTCTGGGTCTGTGGGACACAGGAAAGAACTGTTATATCTGCTCTAGGTTATGGGAGAATTTTGAACCTCCCAGCCCTCAGTGATCTTGACCAGATTAGAAAGCCTACGGGTTTGGATTGATGCTGCCTCTGGTTCAATATTAAGGTCCTTTTGTTTCTGCTTTTGCTCTCAGCTGCTTTCCTGATTCAAATTCATTCGGTAATTTTCATCAGTTTCTTAGTTCCTTAAATGTAATGCCTCATTTTTTTTCCTCTTCCACATAATTAATTATATCAGTTTCTGTAGCAATTAAGAGTTGAAGAGGGGTCAGAGCAATAGTACAGTGGGCAAAGCACTTGCCTTGTACAAGCTCACCCGGGTTTGCTTCCAGGCATTCTGTGTGGTCCCCTAAGCACTATCACAAGTGTATCTTGAATGCAGAGCCAGGAGTAACCCCTGAACACTGCCAGACATGGCCTAAAACCCAAAAAGGACTAACTCCTTTGACTAACCAGGGAGGAATGAAAAAAAGTTGAATATATATTTTAATAGATAACAGTAACAATTAAGTTATTTTTATGGTCATATTTAAATATTTTTGTTGTTGAACTGACTTATGTAGTGGTCCTTAAATCAACATGTTGGCTCAAGTTAATTGAAAAAATGGTTTACTTGAATGCCTCTCCTGACTAAAGATCCTGCGTTTTCTTTTCTTTTTTTTTAACCATATAACAGGGCTGGAGCGATAGCACAGTGGGTAGGGTGTCTGCCTTGTAAGCAGCTGACCCGCATCCAATTCCTCCGCCCCTCTCGGAGAGCCCAGCAAGCTACCGAGAGAATCTCGCCCACACAGCAAAGCCTGGCAAGCTACCCGTGACGTATTTGATATGCCAAAAACAGTAATAACAAGTCTCACAATTCGTTGTGAGATGTTACTGGTGCCCGCTTGAGCAAATCAATGAACAACGGGAGGACAGTGCTACAATGCTGTCATATAACAATATTTGGGTATTCATTTAAACTAGACATTGGCTTAGTTCTGTAAATAATACATTTCTAGTTTTATTTATTTATTTATTTAAAAATTCAAATTGCCGAACATTTCAAAGAGTATCTGCTAAATATCCTACAAGCCTTTTTCTCGTACTTACTGATGAAGTAGCTGGTTCTTTTTGGTTTTTGGATTTTTATTGTATAAGAATTCTAGGAATGTGGAAGAAACAGTATTTAAGATTTAAGATTTCAAGCTATCTTCTATGTCTCATTTCTTCGCATTGATTCTGTGCTTGCTAACTAGCATTATGTGTGATTTAAATCACCTATATGATGTTCTTCGGTGCTGCTGTTTGCATTTTTTATGTGTCCATACAATGAGTTAGGTAGATTTTGGTATTAAAAGATTTAACAATGTAATGAAGGTATTTGTTCTGTATGACTCTTTCTTGTTTATTCAATTACAAAATTACTTTAATTGAAAACAAGAAAAATTTTAATAAAAAAAACAAATGAGCTAGAAAATTGCCTTTTCTATTTTCTTATATAGGTAAAGAGAGACCTGTTCAGTCTTTGAAAACATCAAGAGACACCTCACCCTCAAGTTCTTTAGCTGTTTCTTCATCAAAGGTTTGTTGTATTAAAAAATTAATTTAAAGAGGAAGTAGAAAGTAAAATGCACAGGGATGGGTGGGGGCTTGGGCTTACCGGGTGGTGCTCAGGACTTACCTTGGCTCTGTGTTTGAGGATCTATGCATCACTCACTGGTGGCAGTGCTTGGGGAGACAATATGGGGTTTGGTGGATATAACCACCATCAATTATAGACAATTTGTTATTGTTTTTCAAATGTCAGTAATTGGCTACATTTGAGGACTTGAATTTTAGGTAACAGAAACTTCAAACGTGGCAAACAGTAAATAAGCAGTGTTCTTAGGAAGCTTGAGTTATGCTAATATTACTATTCACTATATCCTTTTTTTCTCTTGAGGAACCAGGGAGGAATGGATGCTTAGATGATAAGTAATGGATAGACTGTGCTTTTATTTGTGGAGTGGGGTAGGCAGAAGCCTAAAATTTGTTAACTCTTGGAATTCTGGATATTGAGTCACTTGATCACTTGATTTCCTGTTAATTATCAATTTGCTCGAACGGGAGCCAGTAATGTCTCCATTTGCCCCGTCATGTGCTAGTGTAAGGATATTGAGTATTTTCTTCTTATTAACTCATACAGGAATCTCGTGACGTAAGTGTGTGTGTATGTGTGTGTATGTATATCTGTATGTGTATGTGTATAAGTATACACACACATACATTATATATATGCACATCCACACTCCCAATATATATAAAAAGCTCAGAAGTTAATATATTTTGACAAGTTATTTTATGGATGAATTTTCCAACTGTTAAAAAAAATACTCACATATTCATGCAAAAAAAAAAAGAAGTGAACACACAATCATCTTACAAGTTCAGCATTATTCAGATGCTAAAACCAGACAAGGACGCTACTAGAGAAGAAAAAAATCTCAGATGAAAATAGAAACAGAACTTTCAACAAAATACTTTCAAGCCAGATTCAAGAGCAGAGTGAAAACGACTGACTACGATTTGTTTAACAAATGCAAGTATGATTCAGTACTCATAAATCAATGTGATATACCCTATAAGTGAAATGGAGGAAATTTATGTCGCCATCTCAGTGGACACAGGAAAACTATTAGGCAAAATTATATTTCTGTTTAGGAAAACAACTCTAGGCTAACAGGATATAGAAGGAATATAACTCAATAAAGGCCATATGAATAGTCTGCAGCTGATAGAGTACTCAAATGTGAAACAGCTGAAAACTTAAGGTCATGTAGTCATGTAATAGACCCAGGTATGTCAGATGTTAGGCAGGCATGGTATATGCTTAATTTCACAGCTTGTAACCATACTACTGGAAGTTCCAGACAGAGCAGTTAGTCAAGAAAAAATTAAAGGCATTCAAATTGGAAAAGAAAACTGTTCAGATGACATTTTGTCTTGAACCTTTTGTCAATTGAGAGGCTACAAAGTCATTGTACAAAGTATCTAGGTCATTTTTCAGTAATTTTTTCATTAAAAGTGTTTGTGGAGTGGAGTATGAGCAGAAGCCTAAAATTTTAGTTATTTATTTTGTTGAACCCGGCAAGCTACCAAGAGTATCTCACCAGTACGGCCAATCCAGGCAAGCTCCCCTTGATGTATTCAATACGCAAAACACGGTTACAAGTCTCACAATGGAGATGTTACTGGCCCTCTAGAACAAATCAATGAACAAAGGGAGGACAGTTCTACAGTACAGTATACAATGTTTCTCATCAACATAATTCCAGTAACACAAAAAATCACCAGTGAACCCATTTATCCCCCTCCCCAAGGGCCCCAGTATTTCTTTCTCTCATCCCTCAGCTTCCGAATTCAATTTTTTGGAACAGTTCTGTGTTATGTTTTCTTTGGGCTTTTGTTGCGATGTTGATGTGTATCTTTATTTATTTTTTTATAATTTTATTTATTGAATCACTGTGAGAGCAGTTACAAAGCTTTCAGGTTTAAGTCTCGGTCATACAATGAAACACCCATTCTTCACCAGTGCCCATTCTCCACCACCAAAAATTCCAGTATAGCCCCATCCCACACCCTCCCCCTACCTGTGGGGCAGATGATTAGATGATTTTTACATTACTCTCTCTCTACTTTGATTACATTCAATATTTTGACACCAGACCCACCATTATTATTTGGGATTTTTACCCCAACACTCAGATATGCTAAAAGGCAACAGTAGACAATTTGTTTTCTATTGCTGGTTATAAATAACATGATGTCGTGTGGCTGCAGTAGTGGTCATACAATTTTGGAATTCTGAAATTTTAACACATAAATCTGGAGGGATTTCTGCCCAAACCTGCTGGGTTCCGAGATTTGTTCCTGAGTCTCTGGGATCATAGCTGTTAAGCAGCTTTATCAGGAGAAAGAAAGGCCGTTTATGAGCAGTGACCTGGGGTCTCTTTGGGACGAGGAGGAAAAGGCTGGCTCCACCCCCATCCCATGAGGTCCCGTGTTTCTCATCACTGCGGACCCAAACCTGACTGCCCAGTGGCCTCTGGAGGATGGTGGCCACCAAGCCGCCTAGGGGGAGCAGGCAGAGGGGCAGCACCCTTTCCCCCCTGATGTGGCCCGGTGACAGTAACCTACTACGGGGTCCGGGCATAAGCTGCTGGGTTCCGAGATTTGTTTCTGAGTCTTTGGGATCATGATCCTTAAGCAGCTTGATCAAGAGCCAGAGATGCCATTTGTGGGCGGTGACTCGGGGTCTCTTTGGGGTGGGGAGGAAAATGCCAGCTCCACCTCCATCCTGTGAGGCCCCAGGTGTCTCGACACTGAGAGCCCAAACCTGATTGTCCAATGGTCTCTGAAGGATGGCAGCCACCGAGCCGCCTAGGGGGAACAGGCAAAGGGACAGCACCTTTTCTCCCCTGGAGTGGCCCGGTGACAGTAACCTACTGTGGGTCTGGACGCATTTCTGCCAAAAGCCACTGGGTTCTGAGATTTGTTTCTAAGTATCTGGGATCATGGCCGTTAAGCAGCTTGAACAGGAGCCAGAGAGGCCGTTCGTGGGAGGTGACTCGGGGTCTCATTGGGGTGGGGAGGAAAGGGCCGGATCTACCCCCATCCCGTGAGGCCCTACATGTCTCGTCACTGCAGGCCCAAACCTGATTGTCCAGTGGCCTCTGGAGGATGATGGCCACTGGGTCACCAGGGGGAACAGGCCAAGGCATGAAACCTATTCCCATCTGGGGAGGCCCAGCGCCAGTAATCTACTGCAGGAACAGGATGCATTTCTGACAAAAGCCGTTGGGTTCCAAGATTTGTTTCTGAGTCCCTGGGATCATGGCTGTTAAGCAGTTTGATCAGAAACCAGCGAGGCCATGCCTCTAATTATATAGCTGAGCTGGAAGTGGTTTGTGGTGTCTCTCCCACATACCTAACTTTTGGCTATTTATTTTCTTGGTAAATTTTGCCCCAAGTTTTTGGGGTCTGGCCAAAGGCACAGTAGCAATTTTGGGGTATCTGAAAGTCTGACGGCACCATCAGGCTGCTGATGCACTCGCCTCACTGGTACAGATTGACCTACTGACTGTACCATACCCACAATGTGTATCTTTAAGTTTCACATAATAGATTATTCTGCATATGTCCCTTTCCTTCTTTTTTTTTTTTATGTAGGAGTATTGCTGTTTATTCAGCCATTGATTAGGCTGATTCATTTGGGCATGAACGCCACCTTACTGTTTTTTTTTTCTTTTTTATAAATTTAATTATTGAATCACCGTGAGAGCAGTTATAGAAGCTTTCAGGTTTAAGTCTCGGTCATACAATGATGAAACACCCGTCCCTTCATTAGTGCCCATTCTCCACCACCAAAAACTCCAGTATACCCCCCATCCCTCCCTCTCCCCCTACCTGTGGGGAAGATGATTCCCACAATACTATCTCTCTACTTTGATTACATTCAATATTTTGACACCAGACCCACCATTATTATTTGGGATTTTACCCCAGCACTCAGATCTGCCGAAAAGGCAGCCATAGACAATTTGTTTTCTGTTGCTGGTTATGAATAACATATGATATTGCATGGCTGCACTAGTGGTCGTGCGATTTTGGAATTCCGAAATTTTAACAATTAAATCTGAGGAATTTCTGCCCAAACCTGCTGGGTTCTTTGATTTGTTCCTGAGTCTCCGGGATCATGGTCATTAAGCAGCTTGATTAGGAGCCCAAGAGGCCCTTTGTGGGCAGTGACCCGGGGTCTTGTTGGGGTGGGGAGGGATGGGCTGGCTCCACCCCCATCCTGTGAGGCCTCATGTGCCTTGTCACTGTGGGCCCAAACCTGACTGTCCAATAACCTCTGAAGGATTATGGCCACAAAGCCGCCAGGGGGAACAGGCCAAGGCCTACCCCTCGGGTAGCCCGGCACTGATAAACTACTGTGAAGACCGGACTCATTTCTGCCAGAAGCCACTGGGTTTCGAGATTTGTTTCTGAGTCTCTGGGATCATGGCCATTAAGCTGTTTGATCAGGAACCAGAGAGGCCTTGCCTCCAATTATATAGCTGAACCGGATGTGGTTTCTGGGTATGTCTCCCACATACCTAACTTTTGGCTGTTTACTTTCTTGGTAAACTTGGCCCCAAGTTTTTGGGGTCTGGCCAAAGGCACAGCAGCAATTTTGAGGTATCTAGAAGTCTGAAGGCACCATCAGGCTGTTGATGCACTCGCCTCAGAGGTACAGACTGACTTGTTGGCGGCACCATACCCTACGTCCCTTTCCTTCTGTCTTCACTCAGCATGATATCTTCTAGTGCCATTCATTTGCTGAAAATTGCATAATTTTGTTCTTTTCTGTGTCTTTTTTAGAGCTGCAGAGTATTCCATTGTATGTATGGAATACAGCTTCTTGGTCCATCTATAGTTGGGTATCTGGGTTGTTTTCATATCTTGGCTATTATATTAATAGCCAAGTACTAGAATAATATTAATTGTACTGTTATAATTGGCTATTATACTAATAGTCAAGTGTACTAATGTATACTAAAT